GAGCCCAAGATGGTCAGCTCTAACACAGTACTGTCCACTGAAGTGTGACGTGAGCTACCTATGTCTCTCTAACGTTTCTAGCAGCCGCATTAAGAACAAATAAAAAACTAAATTAATTTTAATATGCATTTTATGTAACCTAGGATGTCCAAAATATTACCATTTCAATATGCAATCAATATAAAAATCCACTGAGGGCATATTTTACATTCTTCTGTCTTCAAACACTGTTGTGTATTTTACCATTAAAATAAATCGCAGTTCCTCCTGGTCCAGGTGGCTCAGTTGGTTGGCGCATCGTCCCATACATCAAGTATTGAGGGTTCGATTCCCTGTCAGGGCACACACCTAAGTTGTGGGTTCGACCCCCAGCAGGAGCCTACAGGAGGCAACCAACTGGTGTCTCTCTCTCTCTCTCTCTCTCTCACAAATCAATAAATGTATTCTTGGATGATGATTAATAATAATAATAAATAATAAATCGCAGTCACAGTTAAGTTTTTAATAGGTAAACTGAAATTTAACCCTATTAAAACAATGAAGTTGTAGTTAACTGAAAACTATTTTTGCACTGCTCCACAGTTTCTTAATTTAAAATTTTGTTAATTGCACAAAATTAAAATTTTGGTTCCCCCGTCCCATTCGTGGCTCAATGGCCACAAGTCTAGAGGCTACTGTGCCCGTCAGGATGGGCCCAGATCTGATTCTCCTTTGAGATCCATCTGGTTTGTGATGGGGGCCGTGTAAACATTAAATGGATGGATGGATTAGGGATGGACGAATAAATGTTACTGCCTTCACGTCCTCACTAAGTTTACTTTCTTACTTTTTACTCCGAATATGCATAGTTCAGGAAAGGGAGAATAAACTTAAGGGAAAGGTGAGTCCATAGAAATCTTCCTTGGCCTCCCAATTTTTCAGTTTGCCCCACTGGGCAAAGTTCAAATGCATCACAGTTCTACCCTCTGACGCACGTAGCTCAGCCACCCAGCATCACCAGCTCCTGGCTCAGGACAGGCGTCACCTCATCTGCGGGGTCTTTCTGGGCCATCCTGTTCTAAGCTGCAGCCCACCCACCCTCCCCTGCCCACCACTGGTGCTCCTTACCCCCTCCCCCTGCTCTATTCTTCACCATTGCATTTGCCAGCATGTAATATATTATACTTATTTGTTGTTTTTGCCTGGACAAAGCAGGAGTTTTTATCTATATGATTCACTCATGGATCCTCAGCACCTGGTATATAATAGGTTCTCAAACAATTATTTATGAATGAATAAATAGATGAATGAGTAGTTTGAGTTCCAGCTCTTTTATCTGCTAGCTCTAAAACGCTAATGACTAATTAAAGATTAAACCTCAGTTTCCTTCTCTGTAAAATGGGTATCATACTTCTCCTTACAGAGTTGTGTGATATGACCTCACAGGGTTAATACTTACCTTATAAGACTAAATAAGATAATGTCTACGAAGTATTCAGCATAGTAGCTACATAGCGATGTGATAAGCACAGATATAATGGTAGCTGCTATTATTACTGTTTAAATAATAATATTATTAGATTTAATCTAGCAGATCTATGACATATAAACACTACCAGGTCAATAACCATGTAAAGCAAATATAAGTTCCCAAGTAATTCTGACCCAAACAAAAAAAAAAATGAGGTCAGGGAAAAATAGGCTTGAGATCTAGATTTCCAACATAAGGGCCTATATTTACCCGTCCTCCTTTTATTTGTGTTTCCAGCCATGAGATGCAGGTCCCTCCTCCCACCCTACCAAGACTGGCGGCAGCTTCAGTGTCAGGCCCTGTACCTGTTGTGTTTACTGTCACCAGGGACTTAGGCTCTAAAAGCAGGCACCAGAGGGTGTGCATTCCAGGCGTGTCACCGGCCTGCCCTTGACGGCAGAAGCTCTTGGCTCACCTGCTCTGGAACAGTCAGTCACATGGGCCTCGAATGGCCCGGGGTCTGGCAGCCGGGCACAAGTGGAGCCAGGCTGCCCGGCGGCCAGCTGGGGAGGGACAGTGAGCTGCCTTCCTGGCAGAGGAGGCACGTGCCCCAGATTCCTCTCAAGGGCCCGGTTCTCCTGCTCCCTCTCCAGCCTCGTCCTCTGAAACCCTTCCTTTCACAGGCTCGTTTTCAGTCTGCCCTCCACTTTATGGTCGCTGCACCCACCTGTTCATCCATTCATCCAACAAACGTGACTCGAGCATCGATGAGATGCAGTTACGGCGTAAGGACCGGGGGTGGATACACAGTGTTAAACAGTGTAAGACCGTCCTCTGCCCTCGGGAAGTTTCCAATACCTTCCATCGGTGTCATGCTTCACAGTTTACAAAACGCTTTCACAGACGTGGGCTCTTCTAATCCCCATGATGGCATCTTAACCTGGGATTAGCTCCTTTCATGCTCCTCACTTTCCACCTGAGGCGCTCAGACTCCGGGTGCCTGCCCTGAGGTCTCACAGCTCCCAAACGGGGAGCGAGGACTCCAACGCGGGTTCTTTTCGGCGGCACCACGACCTTTTTGCAGGCAACACCACATCTCACAAACAGCAGTTCTTTGAAAGTCACAGAAAGTCGGCTCTTTGAAAGATAGCCGTCACTTGACTGCATACCTAATGGCTCCAGAAAGAAATTGCATGTTCTGCACGGGGAGGAGAGAGACTGACGGTCTCCCCGGCAGGACAGAAAGTTCCAGGAATTTGGGTGCATGGGGTGCCCTGCCAGATCTGTCTCTGCTGGGTCCCTCCAGTACAAGCACTTCACTCGGGATTCCTGAAACCTCTGAACTCAGAGCCCCGACTGTCCACACGCACAGGTATGAACCACGCTGCTTCCCCCAAACACCATTTCTGGTGTCCCTGCCATTGAACCTGAAGTTCCCCTGGAGAAATATCCAGGTGGCTTTATGAGAGCAAACCTGTTCCCACAGCGCCACCAAGCGGCTGAGCCTCTGCCCACTGAAAACTCCACCAAACGGCGTCCAGAGAAGTCTAGTTCCCTTCAGGGCGAGCCAAGGCACAAAATACCAAGAAAAAGAACTTGGCAGAGTGGAGACGGGGTGGAGAAATTCGGGGGAGATTTAGGAGGTGTGGACAGGCAGAAGGCAAGCAGCCAAAACTGTTTATCAAGAAGCGATTTGGCAGAAATTCATTGACTATTAGGCCCGCAAGTGGCCAACCCTTCCCTTTCAAACAAATTTTTATTTCAATTATATTTTACAATTGGAATTATTTTGTATTAGTTTCAGTGGTACAGCATCGTGGTCAGACATATTTTCAGCACCCACCTGGCACCGTACATAGTTTTTGCGACATCATTGACTATATTCTCTATGCTGTACTTTTGTATCCCCATAACTATTCTGTAACCACCAGTCTGTACTTCTCAACCCCTTCACCTTTATCACCCCGCCCCTGACCCCTAAACCCTTCCCAACCCTTCTCTTTTTATAGATAAGAAAACTAACGTTAGGGTCCCAATCTCCCAACCCCTTATCCTGCACACTTCCCCCGCCCCATTACACAGCCTCTCTGGGCCTCAGTTTCCCCATCTGTAAAATGGGAATGATGATACCTTTCCTCAGAGGGATGGTGTCGTATTTTTTTAAAGGGTACGTGTGTGAAAGCTGCTTGTAAAACCACAGCACAGTTGCTGCAGCCTCTCAGTCTCCCTTTTCTAATGGAATGCGTGGCGATTTCAGCCTCCAAATCAGAAGAGGACTGCGAGCCAAAACGAAGAGCCAGAGAAAGGGCAGAACAAAGAATCCCAGCCTGGCTTCAGCTTGGCCTCCCGCTCTTTCAAAAAGAGCAGCCGCCTCAGTGTTCTTTCAAAAGGGCAGCTGATTGGACTCTGGGCGCCTTCATTATGCCAGAAGAACATGTAGAGAAATTAACGTGTCCCTGGGGTATGTTCATACAGCAGTTCCCTTCCTGCCTTGCACTCCGCTTCTCACCTCTGGCCTTCTCGGGTTGCCATCAAATCAGGCAGACAACAGGTGATGAGTGGGCCCTGGCCTGAGGGACTAGATCCCCATGCTGACAAAGAATGGACAGGGACAGTGGCCCAGGCAGTTGGTGACGAGAGGCAAGGAGACAGGAGACAGGAGACAGGAGACAGGGATTAGTTTTCTCTGCCTATGTCCGGCCACAGCAAGACACAGCAATTATCCACGGAGTTTGGGGCCCCAGCATTTTTATATAAAATGTCCCAGTGGCTCTCACCGTGCTGCTCAGGTCATGGACCTACCTGCTGTTTCAGATCTCCACTTGACTGTGACGTTCCTTAGCATCTGGCTGCCTCTGCCTAGGACAAGCCAGCCAAAGTTGAAAGAAATACAGCACAGAGGGAGTCCAATATAGGTGAGGCCATGGGTATTGAGAACAGAAGCTCTGAAGCCTTCCATTGCCAGCCCTGCGATGTTGGGCAAATTTGCTGAATTTCTCTGGGCCTGGAGAAATTCCTGTGTCTACAAAATGGAAATAATACCTAACAAACACAATTTGGTGAGGATTCTGTAACAATAACCTGTGTCTGGCACATATAAGAGCTCGATTAGAGGAGGAGATTGTTATTTTTTACTGTTGGGGCAGCAGTTCCTCCATAGGCATGTTGGTAGCCCCTCATCCCTCATATTGGAACTGCTAAGAAACACTTGCTACAGGTAAATGAATGAGTGAATGAATGAACTGACAAGTGCAAGAGCAGCACCCGCATGCTGCCTGATGACGTCTAGAAGAGCCGTACTATTGCATTATTGTGTCCAGCTTGCAGATGCACAAGCTGAGTCCAGCACTCTTTCTCCTCCTCCAATCAACCTCCTCCCTCCCTGAATCGGGGTTGGCTTTATGATTTGCGCGGCCCATAAGAGGCAGTGGAAGTGATGACTGGCCAGTTCCAAGCCTGGACTTCAAGGGGCCTTTTTCACTGCTTCTCTCTCTCTCTCTCTCTCTCTCTCTCTCTCTCGAGGCCTTGGGCCACTGCCTAGGGCCAGGAAAAGGCCTAGACTGGGCAAGCCTGTTGGAGGGTGGGAGGCTGCATAGACCAGAGGGGGGCCAACCCAGCTGCAGCTGTCCTAGACTGGCTAGCCCCCAAGCCACCCAGCAGCTGACCACAGATGCATAAACCCAGCAGCCCTAAGTCCTACCTGGCCCAGAGAAATAACCAGTCACACTGAGTCTCAAGAGCTAAATAAATAGCTGTGGTTTTAAACCACCAACTTTTGGGGGCATTTGTTACATAGCAAAAGCTAACTAACACAATTGGCCAGCCTGGTGTGCCTAGGATGGTAGTGAGAGTTGGCGTGACCGTGCACAGGTCCTCTGAAGGCTGAAGTGAGGTGACAAGAAGCCCACCTGCTGCCCTGGTCAATTGGGTCAAAGAGCGCAGTTCTGTCTTCTTGCTTCTGCTTTCACTCCAAAGATGAGGCGCACGGTCTGTAAGATGAGAAAGAGCCCCAGTGGCTCCAAATACTCTGTGAGAACAAGCCAAACAGGCAAACAGGTCTTTCATTCCAGTCCCCAAAGGTTTTAACACACCAGGTCTTAAACCCTGACATAAATCTTGCTCTACCAAGAAGTGACTCTTGTGTATCCCAGAATTAGAACATTTCAAAGGAATGTTCAATCAATAAGATGAAGGGCCAGGAAAGCCTCTTATGTAACTCAAAGGAAATGAAATCAGTCCTTTTGGAAGTGACTTGGATCCTGGAGAGGACACTTGTCTGCTTTTCTGGTTAGTGAATAAGGACTCAGCATTTCTAGAAAGGGGTGAGAATCTTGCCGACCTCTCACCAAGTCCTGGCTCCAAAGCTGCCGAGTTTCACCTAATGGGCTGTATCCCTACACATGGAGATAGCTGTGACCCCCACCCCTAGGAGAGAGGAGCTGTCTTTCCTATTCACTTCTCCATTGCTCCCCAGTGTTGATATAATCCAAATCGATACCGAGGCAAGTTTTCCTGAGAATAGCCTTTGTCATTTAGTCATTGGAAAACAAAACAAACAAACAAACAAAAAACCCTCTAATAAGCTGGCACTGTCCTCGGCCCTGGAAATAAAACGGTGAGAAGACGCAGGACCTCTCTCCCAGAAGGAAATGGAAAAGGAAGACAGAGAGGAGGAGATCTTACAACCAGCCTGCGGTTTTATCCCTCCAGTTCGTGTTTTTGGGGTTTGTTTTGTGTGAAGATTTCCTGTCTTGAGAGCCAGGCACAGTGCTGGGCTCCAGAGGAAAAGAGTGTCAGGAAAATAAACAGAACCTACTTTCATGATGGTAATTGTGGTTAATAATACTATTGTTTTTATGAGCTCCTTGGTTTCATTTTGTTTTGTTCCTTTTTTGTGACAAAATACACGTGGTATAAAATGCACCGTTTTAATCATCTGCGGTGCTCGGTCCTGTGGCAGCGAGTCCATGGCCAATGTTCTGCAGCCCATCTCCAGGAGCTGCTCATCTTCCCCAAACGAAGCCCTGTGCCCACTGAACACTGGCTCCCTACTGCCCCCTGCAAAGCCCCCCACAAACCTCCATTCTACCCTGATGATTTTAACTGGCTGATTTCACTTCCATAACGTCTTCGAGGCTCATCCCTGCTATAGCTTTTGTCAGACTCTTCCTCTCTGCGGCTCAGTAATGTCCCACGGTGTGTATACACCACATTGTGCTTTTCCATTGTCCATCAGTGGACACTTGGTTGCTTCCACCTTTTGGCTGCTGTGAATAATGCCACCACGAGCATGAGTGTGCAAATATCTCTTCACGTTCCTGCTCTCATTTCTTCCGGGTATGTACCCAGAAACGGAATTGCAGGATCATTGCCTAACATGCTAATTCTCTGTTTAATGTTTTCAGGGACACGCCACACTGCTTTCCACAGGGGCTGCGCCGTTTTACGTTCCTGCCGGCAGCGCACACAGGATCCACTTTCTCCACATTGTTGCCAACACTTATTATTTTCTGGTTTTTAAAAAGCAGCCATCCTAATGGGTATGAGGTGATATTGTGGTTCTGATTTGCATTTTCCTAATGATTAGTGATGTCGAGCATCTTCTCATGTGTTTATTAGCCATTTACATGTCTTCTTTGGAGAAACGTCCCTTGGTTTTGTTTTTCGGGACCATATGCTGCTTTCAGGTTTCGTGCCAGGCGCTCCGACAGGCTCTACAGATACATTATTGTGTTGCATTTAATCTCCCTGAATCGAGAGGTTATTATTCCCATTTTACAGGCATGGAAACTGAGGTCGGCCTGGCTGACTCCACTGACCTGGCTACAATTGAGGGAAGATGGAGCACATGCCTGCGGGGGTGGGGGGCAGGGGGAGGAGGGGGCAGGGGCTGGTCTTTGTGTCTCACGAATTCCCTTTGCGCCTTTTGCAGCACTTTGCTTCTCCTCTTTCTCCCTTCCCTTCTTTTTTCTCTCCTTTCAGGTCAGAGCCACTAAATGTCTCCTCCCTTCCTGCCAAAATCTGATAAATTCTTAGCACCTCAGTGAGAAGGGCTCCCTCCCCAGGAGGATTTTCTTCTTCAAAGGCTTGAACTAGGAGAAAAGTGCCCAGACAGATCATTGGGAGGGTCACTCCTGGGACCCTGACTGGGGAAGCTAAACCTACCCTGGGGTGAGCCATCAGAGAGGGAGGAGCAAGCTGGTCCCAGCCCCAGCTCATGACCTGGTGACCAGAAAGTGTTGCCCAACTATTCACTAGTTCCTACTGCAATGAATTGTTGGCATGGCTATAAAGTTCCTGAGCACCTACTATGTGCCAGGCACTGTTCTAAACACTACACATTGGCATTCACTCATCTAATCCTCACAATGACCGCTGGTCCCATGGAGAGATGAGGAAACAGATCCTCTGAGAGGTTCGGTAACTCCCGCCGCTGTTGAGTGGTCCACCTGGTGCTCCAGCTCAGGTGTCTGGACCCACAGCCTGCACGTAGCTGCTCCTTCCTACTGCCCCCGATTTTCTCCTAGAAGAATTCAGAGACAGGGTACATGATAGATACATAGACAGACAGAGAGATAAAGAGATAGACAAACAGATGAGGGGAGGCCGGGGGAGGGGCTTTTTCTCCATCCTGCCTGATTTTACCTACTTGTGAAATAACTCCAACCATCAGAATCAGCCTCTCTCCGGCCCCTCACTCACTCCTCTCCTGGGAAAGATGTTTCTGTTGTCTATCTGTTTGCCTTACCTTCCCCCACAGGACCAATCCATTCTGTTCTTTCTCTGGTCCGGGAAAGCTATCCCCTGTGGGCCACATCAGGGCCCCTGTGACCTCTGGCCTTCAATTGGGCACAGCCAATGGGAGGCAGCAGCAAGGGTCAGAGGGTAAGTGTCCCGCTGCTGGCAGTTTCTGATCCATCCTTTCCTGGCCACGGACCCTGCCCTGTAGCCCTCCCCACGGCTACAGCTCCTCCAAATTGAAAAGCTTCGCTTCCCTGGCAGCCTTGGGGGAGGTAAGCCCTTCCAGTTGCTAGCTAGCCTCAGAGGGCCTCGCAATGGCATGTTCGTTCCTCAGCTCTGCCCGCACCTTTGTAATGCTCCCTTGTCTTCCCTCAGATCTTCTCAACTGGCTCTTCAGACTGTCAGGAAGGAGGTTCAGACATCAGACCATCAGACAGGGAACAGGGCTGTTTTATAGGAACCTATGCGCACATGCATGTGTGTGTGTATGTGCACATGTGTGCATGCATACACACCCTCATGCACTTATATGTGTTTGCACATGTACCCACATGCATATGCACATAGATATGTATGCGCAAGCATGTACATGTATGCACTCGTGCATATATATATATACACATGCATGTGTGTGTGTGCATAATTGTACACACATGCAAATACTGGGAGAACACAAGCCTAAATGCCCTCAGTGATTTTCTCTGGATAGTAGGATTATAGGTTATTTTTTTCTTTATGCATTTCCATAATTTCTATGGCTTTATTTTTGTAATGTTCTTTTTTCCCCAAAGAAATGCTGATCCGTGGGGTAAGAAGGAAGAGCCAATGGGGATGTGCAGAGTGGCTGTATCTAGAGGTCAGAAGGTTCTCCTTTCTCTGGAGATCCCAGTAGGAAGACAGGCCTCCCCTGCCTTTGTGTAGGCCCATCCCGAGCCCTCCCACGGCCATCGCTAAGCACTAGGCCTGCCTTCTGCTCTCTCTCTGAGGCCATCTTGAGGCCTTGAACATAAGAAAGGCCCTCGAGAGTCCTTCCACATCCCCTAAACGGCCAAAAATGTCAGCGAGACTTATGCCTGGGCCCTTGAACCCCGGTAGCCTCTGCTCTCAGGTGTGGAGCACTGCCACCGCCCAGTTCCCTGTGGGAGGAGCCAACTCTGGGGACAGCCTGGACCTCCCAGATGGTCTACATGAAATTACGATCAGGTCGAGATTATCAGGCAAGAAAGTCGAACGCCCCTCCCCCAGGCAGGGACCAGGCCCACCAGCCCTCCCCACAGTTGTGCATGAGAAAAATGTGTTTCCCACGCCCCAGGCCCTGCCTTCTATGCTCTCCCTGTCACCTCAGCCCACTCCACATGTGCTCAGCTCAGTTCTCTCTCAGGACCTGCTCTGCAATCCCAGACACACTCGGGCAACAATAGCAGGTCAGATGGAAAAGGGTGGCCGCTCTCAGGGGTATTTACATCTTAAATAGAGGACTCGCAGAAAGGCAACCCCAAAGAAGGCCTTTGATGGAGGGATTCCAGCAGTGGTCGGCGCAGCCTGTGGAGGGCCAGAGGGTGTCGTGCTGCCCGTGCCCCAGACCACAATCGGCTTTCTACTGTGTTTCAAAGTGGGGTCAGCCAGGGTCAGCTGGGTCAGGGCCCTTGGCTGCTTTCCAGCAACAGCTAATCTAACCAGGATCTAGCAACACCAGAGGGAGGAACCAGCTATCAGAAGTGAAATCGGCTCCAAGCAAACAAGTCCAATCCTTCCGCCCACTCCCCAGCTGTGCTGTCTGTGAGACAGTGGTGGTCAACATGTAAGAGAGCTTGGTCAACAGCCTCTGGGGGGGGAGGAGGAGGGGGAACAGCTCTGGCCTAGAAGTTTAAAAAATCCTGTGCTCTGCACCTGTCCCCTATTTTGCTGTGTGATGGTAGGCAATGTGCTAAACCTCTCTGAGCCTTGTGTCATGACTGGAAATATAAAGAGACTGTATGAGATGGGTCTAAGGTCCCCTCCAGCTCCAGTATGCTATGTTCCCCTCCCACTTCCATTTCTCCTCCTTCCCCTCCCCCCTTTCTCTCATATACACTCACACACACACACACACACACCACCCCAAAGAATGCATATCGAGACAAAGGCAGAGAGTTTGGCTCAACTCTGTCTGGAGACTGCGATAAGCCTGGAGCTCACATTTGGTCCACCGTGGCCAGCTAGCTGTCTTAGAGGCTGAAAGAGCCTCTCTTCTCGAGTCAACAAAAGGTCCAAGTCGAGATAAAAGGCCTGCTCCATGCTCAGTGAGTCGAGTTGCTCAGCTGCATCCAGGATTAACCAAGTCTCCTCACTGGCTCTCTGGTTTCAAAATAAAACTTTGAAAGAGAACTGCGTTCAATGGAAAATCCCCCAGTAACAAGGCCTCTGGGAGCATTATGGGAATACCATCTGTCAAGCATTGCTTCGCACAACCTGTGACCAAAACAGCCTTTTAATGTCAATACCAATCATGATAATCGCACCTCATGTGTTTAGACAGCGCTGTTGACCTTCCAAAGCCCTTCATCTGGGCTCAATTTGGCCTTGTGCAACTTTCTGATGTAGGAGGAGCAAGAAACTTTCAAATAGCTTAGTTCTGTGCTAGAGATGAGGCAGTTGAAGCCTGAAAAATAACAGAGGTGGGAAGAGAGGCATTCAGAGCTGGAACTAAGTCCCCTTAGTTCAGAGAGCCCCCCACATGCACCAGAGCATCCCAAATGCCACCTGCAGGTGCTGCCCAGCTGGCTGCCTCACAACCCTCGCAACCCTCACAACCACTGCAGGGAGGTTAGAGGTCTTGGATGTAACCCCGAACAAGTATTTGTTAGTGTCCCTAGAGATGCACATGTCTGGAGGCCACGACCCCCTATACTGTGTTCACAATATCTGGGAATTCTGGAGACTGCAGACTAGATGGACCATCTGAGCTCAGGGAGCGTAATCACCTGCTCAGTGCAAATCGCCACTCCGCAGCCTCCCCAGGTGCTTCGGGTACACTTCCTGCTGCGATGACAGAGACCGCAAATAGGAGCACCTTGAGTGAAGAGCAGTTTATTCCGTTCTCTTATCACAATCCGGGTGCAAACGATGCAAGACTAATAGGGAAGCTCCTTGGAGTTGGGGGCACAGGACTCCTCTCTGCTTTGGGTTCTTCAGGGTATATTGCAGTTTGAGACCCCCCAGAAGGATTCCAAGATGGACGTTAGCATGCAGGGCTCACACCTACGAAAAAGGGTGCCTGCTGGATTGAACAGAAGGGTGGATGTTGGGCTGTGATGTGGTCACGGCCAAGGCCTCAGCCATTCCCTAGAGGAGCCCCGAAGCTGTAATGACTTTTCAGAGTTGCCCAAGTTGAGGTAAAGCCTTATACAAACACAGAGAGACTGGCCATGGGGTACTGGCTGCCCCTGGGGAGGGATGTGACCTTGAACTAGAAGATTCTCTTCAAATGAGAGCAATTCTCAGCAAGGGCTGATAGCTGAGGCTGGCAGCTGTGGAATTACATTCTTTGGTCCTGAAAAGTACCCTGAGCAGTACAGCACAGTCTCTACCAAGGTTGTTAGGGTTGCACTGTCTTCCCCCAGATTCATATATGGAAGTTCTAACCCCCAATACCTCAGAATGTGATCTGATTTTGGAAACAGGATGGTTGCAGATGTAATTAGTTAAGCTTAGATGAGGTCATACTGGAGTAGCATGGGTCCCTAATCCAATATGACTGGTGTCCTTCTACAAAGGACAGATTTGGCATGGAGATGCATGTGGAGAGAATGTCACAGAGGTAAAGATTGGGGTCCCACTGCTACAAGCCGAAGAATGCCAAGCTTGCCAGCAAGCCACCGGCAGCTTGGGAGAGAGGCATGGAAGATTCTTTCCACAGCCCTCAGAAGGAACTAACTCCTCTCACACCTTGATCTTGGACTTCAGGCAACCTGAACTCTGAGACATTACATTTCTATTGTTTAAGCCACTACGTTTGTGGTACTTTGTTATGGCGGCACCAGGAAACTAAAAGGAGATGTTGCCTTCATCCACATGGTTCAAAATGGTTCACTGCCCTGCCCTGTCCAGTGGAAAGGAGAAGGAGGAAGGGGAGAGGGGACAGACCGCCTCCCTCTCACCCAGTCATACATATCCGGTTGGTCACAACTTGACCACAGAGCCACGTTTGCCGCAAGGATGGCTGAGAAATGAAGTCTTTATTGTGGATAGCCATGTGCCCAGTTAAGGACTCTATTATGATAGAAGAATGAGCCTGCCAATAAAGTAAAGTTAACCCCCTTTAATAAGTTCAAGTGAGCTCAGGGACCAGGCATAAAACTGAATGCTTCACTTAAAACACTTTGCCAGGAGGTATTCAAGAAAGGAAAGCACAAAGGACAGTGGGAACACAGAAGAAATTTGGTCTCATTCTGCCTGAGAGCTAGGCAGTCTCCCTGGAGGAGGTGACACGGGAGCTGGGCCCTGAGGGACAGAGAAGACATTCCCAAAGTATAGCTGGAAGAGGAGGGAATTGCAGGAAAGGAAAAAAAAGAAGCTATGCTTTCATTATCTCATTGCATCCTCAGAACGACACTGCAAAGCAACCATTGTCATCTCCATTTCCAAGAGGAGGAGTCTGAGATGCTAAATGGAGGATGGAAGTAACTTTGACAAGTTTCCTTTCAAAGGTCATAAAACGAGTAAGAGGTAGAGCAGAGGCACCAATTAAGTCTTCTAATTCCAAGCAAAAACTCTACTTGTAACCTAGATGTAAATTGGACCCCCCAACCCTGGAGATCTATACCGGACTGCCATTAGGAGGCACAGACACAGCTAAAGAACACTAGTTCCATCCAAAACACGGGCACATTCCCAGGGACTCAGTCATCCATGGAATCCTGTCTCTGCTTCAAAGGTCCTGGGCCTTCATGAGCTGTCTTAGCCCACACTGACATGAAGTTGGATCGTAAACCCTTCGCTGCCCTGGCTGATGTTGCTCAGCAGATTGACTGCAGCCTGTGAACCAAAAAGTGCGGGTTCGATTTCATAAGGGCACATGCCTGGGTTGCAGGCCTGGTCCCCAGTGTGGGACACATGAGAGGCAACTGATCAATGTACCTCACACATTGTTGTTTCCTTCCCTGTATTTCTCTCTCCCTCCTCCTCTCTCTAAAGATAAATAAATAAAATAAAACCCTTCACCTGTTTCCTAAATGAGTAAAATGTTTACCCTAGAGAGAGATAGTGGGAAGGGATCATACCTCTCCTACATGACTGTTTGTGGATCCTCCAACCCATTGATCCTCGATCCTTCCGGCTCTTGCCAATATACTGATCGCCCGTCTCCCTTTCAAATTCCACCACTTTCTTTGAAGCCCTGGTGATCCAGGAGGCCCTTTTTGAAATCCCCCTTTGATGGGCCTGGGCCCATAATTTACCTATTTATTTGTAGGCTTGCAGCTGCCTTTCTGTGCTCTGCTACGTAGGCCTCGAGCTAGGAACCTGCAAACTACAATTCCCAGGTGCCCTTACCCACTGGCTTCCGGGTTAGTTCCACCAATGGGAGGCTCTGGTGGAAGGAAGTGGGAGGCTCCCTGCTCTAACGCTCCGACAGGTGGAATTTGACAGCAAGGGTTGCGTGCTTCGTGGTTCCAGCCACCCCGGCAGAAATAGTTCCACGTCAGCTGTCCCAGCCTAAGCTAAGGAGGCACCTCTTCGACTGACCCAGACGTCACTGCGACAATGAGGAGGCTCCTGCCAGGGACACCAGCAGCGCTGGGTGCCCAGGTGTCTCCTTCTGTTCTTCCTGACACCTCCTTCTTCTGGTTTTTGTTTGTTCAGCCCTTATCACATCTTTAGAACAATACCCTGTATTAAATTCCCTCTGTTAGACATACCTAGTATTTTTTTTAATTTCCAGACTGAACCTCTTGAAACTCAATATACATTTAAAGAATGTTTTTCCTCTATCTTTCAGGAAAAGGGTGAAAATAGATTTTATTCTCTCCCTCTGTAAGAAAGATACATTTTTTCATTATTAAAACAAATGAAACATGGAACACTGGAACATTCCTATAAGTAATAGTTATTCAAAAATTGGGCCATTCTTGTTGTTTAATATTCACTTTGAAAAGCTAAGGGGGACCCATTAAAGCTACCTCAACTGACTGTGTGTAGTAATAACCTGGTATCATCCTTCTAATGGTATTTTTCCCCAGAAGATTTTATTAAAATGCCACTCCTGCCTTCGAAGCAGATATCCATTTGCGGGGTGCGGGGAGCTTCTCTGGGTCTTCCCTCACCCAAGTTGGGAAGTGCCTTCAGACAGATCAAAGTGGGGTACATGTCCCAAGCTGAGGCCTGAAGTGACACAGTACTAGCTGAATATTACTCGGAGTTAATACTGAGAATAATCTGAGTGGCTGCTGACATCTCCCAGTGTCCAGACGCTTCTTCCTCGTTACTTATTTCAAAAGATCAAACAGCGTGCCCAGCCTAGAACAGGGATCCACCCTCGGCTTTGGGGATTCTTGTACCAAGGGAGCTCACCCCAATCGGTTTCCTCAATGTTTTCACAAATAAACAGATTCACTCCCCAAAGGGAATTCTTCTCTTATCAGCCACTAAGACAAGTTTTCTACGAGGCTTTATTATCACTTTAACCAGGAATCTTATGTGTGGAATTTAGGTGCGGAATCTAAAGAACCATATAAACAACATGAGCCTCCTGCCCCAGTCTCGGCTCTCCAGAGGGGACTGGCATGGTTCAGTAGCTGAAACCATGCATAGCAAGGCCCATTTGGACTACCCCGTGGCCGATGAACAGACTTCCCACCTCACCCCTCATGCAGGGATCTGGAAAAGGCACAGTTATGTTTGGATAACGTCCTATTTTGTCGGTTATCTTGGTTGAGGGGTGCAAAGACACAAGTTGGGACTTCAGTGCAGATTGGAGGGCGGGGTGCCCCTGGGGGGTCTGGTTGTCACATGAGCTGGGGCTGGAGTTGAAGTAAGAGAAAGCGGGAGAGCCAGCCTGTGAAGCTCTAAGACAGGCTCAAGCAGTACGTTAAATGAGGACTCCGGAATAACCATTATGTAAGTCAGAGCAACGAGGCTTTGGGAAAGCTTCGGAAGGAAACGTGTCTCTCCCCTGCTCTGACACACCTTTCAGGTCGTGGGGAAGGAGTCCCGCATTCCTTCACTCACTCCTGAATATTCGCAGAAGCTATCAACATCTTCTAGGCAGTGGGGCCTGGTGGTCACATTGTGTCCACTCTAGAGTTTGAAGACCTGCGTTCGAATCTTGGCTCTGTCTCTTATTACCTATGTATCTTGGGCAAATGGTTCAACGTTTCTGAGCCTCAGTTTCCTCACGGGTAAGAAGAAATGGGGGTAAGAATATGCCTCCTTCAAAAGGCTGCTGTGAGTGTGAAATAAAATCGTGAGTACAAGCACAGTGCCTTATTCACAGAAGCGTTCAATTAACAGAAGTATAAAAAAATCTAATTGGCTTGTGGCAATAAGCCCACAGCCTGGGGCCTAAGCACTTCTTTAGTGACTGTTGACTGCTTGACTTATGCCCCCATGGCCCCCCTCCGAGAACCCAAATGGGCCAATTGGATTTTGTCTTTCTGAAATTTGTCATTAGTCCTCAGTAATTCTGGTCCTTCTCTGTTGGTGCTGGAACCAAGAAGACAGATAAGAGCTAAGGTGGCCATCACGTGCCCTGCATCCCGAGAAGCAGAGAAAGCCTGGGGAGGAGGGACAGAAGAAAACAGTGAGAAGGAAAGAGGAGGAGCCGTTGGGGTGGGGTGGGGAGGAGGGCAGGAGTTGGGGGGAAGGAAAGGAGGAGGAAGACAAGAGGCACATACTTGGTTTTGATTTAAAAAAAAAAAAGATCCATTGCATATTTGCGCAAACACTGTGGAAACCAGTCTGGAGGATCCTCAAAAAATTAAAACTGGAACTGCCTGATGACCCAGCAATTCCACTTCAGAGAATATATCCAAAAACACCCAAAACTCTAATTCAGAAGATTACATGCACCCCTCTGTTCACTGCAACACCGTTTACAACAGCCAGGCCATGGAAGCAACCCGAGTGCCCACCAATAAACAAGTGGATAAAAAGTTGTGGTACAGATATTTAATAAAATATTGTTTGGCCATACAAAAGAATGCGATCCGGCCATTTGCAGCAGCCTGGATGGACCTAGAGGGTTCTTCACTAGGGCAAACGAGTCAGTCAGAGAAAGACAAATACTATAGGATTTTACTCATGTGTGGAATCTAAAGAACAATATAAACAAACAAAACAGAAACAGACTCACAAATACAGAGAACAGACTGATGGTTGCTCGTGGGAGGAAGGCTGGGGAACTTGCTAGGGAGTGAAAAAGGTGAAGGGATTGAGAGGTATAGATTGGTAGTTATAAAATAGTCATGGGGTTTATAGTACAACGCAGGGAATGTAAGTTAGGTACTAGAGATATCAGGGGGAACACTTTGTAAAGTATACGATTGTCTAACCACTATGCTGCACACCTGATACAAAATACTATTGAATGTAAACTGTAATTGAAAAAAATTAACTAAAAAAAGAAAAGAACCAATGTAAAAAGAAGAAGGAGAAAGAGAAAGAGGAAGGAAGGAAGAGAGAGAAAAGAAAGAAAGAAAGAAAGAAAGAAAGAAAGAAAGAAAGAAAGAAAGAAAGAGAGAGAGAGAGAGAGAGAGAGAGGGAGGGAGGGAGGGAGGGAGGGAGGGAGGGAGGGAGGGAGGGAGGAAGGAAGGAAGGAAGGAAGGAAGGAAGGAAGGAAGGAAGGAAGGAAGGAAGGAAGGAAGGAAGGAAGGAAGGAAGGAAGGAAGGATGGAAGATCCCAGTATCCTCCTCCCAGTGGGTCACCTGTGTCACTGAAGCTGCTGGTGAACCTGAACCAAGACACCCACTCTTTCAGGTGTCTCCTCAGCTCACGGATTCTTCTCCTCTCCCTTGGGTTATACGTATCCTAGTTCCTCCTTTGACAGATGAAGATGTGAGGTTTGGAGAGGGTGGGTGTCTCGTCAAGGGCGCACATCTGGTAAGCCTCAGAGTCAGAACTCAGACCCCAATCAGAATCTGTCGTTCTGTGGAATGAGCATGGACCCAAGAGTCAGACGACCTTAGCTGGAGGGGTAGTTCTGCCAATCGCCAGCCACGTGATTTAGTCCATTCACTCAATGCCGTAAGTGCCCCACTTGCCTGTTCTGTACAATGGGAATAACAATGTCTCTTTCCCTACCTTCCGAGGTCGTTGATGAAATACTATATGTGAACCCACTTTTTAAACTGTAAAGCACTGTACAAATACTAGCCATCATTCATTTATATATCTTTGCTCCTCTTATATTTTTAAGGTGAAAGTCTCATAGATAGAGGTAGTGTCTACTGGAATGCCCAAAAAGCACCCGGGAGTCTCCTGGTCCTTGGAAAATGTTAAATAACTCCAAGTTGAGAGATCGCAACCACAGTTATTTCTCTGAAGCAGAGGATACAGACTTTATAAGAAAAAAAAAGTACTCAATTTCTCAACTCACGTCCCCAACTCCTTTTTGAAACCACTGTGGATGGCATTCAAAATAGTTAACAAACGAGAGATAATTTATGTGAGTGTTTGTGTGCTGCTTCTTAAAGGAGCCGCTAAAAACATAACTGAACAGCATGTGTTTTTCCATCCTCCGGGAAGCAAGAACTGGAGAGCTGTTTTTACTCAGCCTTTTCCAAAACAAAGCACCTTTGGCGATGGAAAATGTTACCCGAAGGGGAGAAATTCTCAGAAAAGTTATGAGGGAGTGAAAAAAGAAAACAAAAAGCACAGAGCACCAAACCGAAGCCCCGTTTAATGAGAGCAGCAAGCCTGAATCCGTTCACACGCAGGGCCTCAGCTCTCTCTCACCTGCCCGAGCGCTGAAGTCGGACAGACCGGGGTGCAAATCCAGCCTTGACGGTTGGCTGAGTAGTCTGGGGTATCTCGTCACCTCTCTAGACCTCAGTTTCCTCATCTAGAAAATGGGGATCAAACACTTTCCTCACAGACTTCTGGAAAGCTTAAATGAGGCCCTGCATTTCGAGTCCCCACCGTGTCGTAAACTTCAGACGTATCATCTCTTCTCTGGCTGCGCCCGATTCATTCCATCTCCCTGAACGGGTAGCGCTGCCCTGCGCAGCGTCATCTTGGTCCGAGAACCACTCTCCTCCCAGCGATGCCTACTAGAATATTCCAGTCCCCAACACGGAGTTAGGCCTCTCACCTTGACCTCTAAAAGAATATGGATTGGATGCAGAAAGGTACGATTTTTTTGCTTGTTTTCTGATTTCTATGTTCAAAAACCTTGCCCAGGGTAAGGGAAGGCGGGAAGGAACCCCACTGAATGCAGGAGGCCTGCCCATGTGAGGTGGGTAATGTGAGAGGGAGGGAGGGGGTGGGGGACGTGGACTGAGAAAGAAG